ATAGGCAGCCCTCCAACGAGCAGTCGCCCAGGGATACTACTGAGGTAAAGACAGCGCGATAGTACACGTGGACAGCGGGAGCCATTTGCAGTAGTCGGTCACAAACAAGACTGAGTGACACAATCCAACTTCGCTACATTTTGCCACTAACCTCAGAAGCCGCCGGAGCCCCTGACGTCATTACGGCATCAGGCACAATTTACCAATTTACAGGGGCTCCAGACCGCCAGCCATTTCAGATGTTGAGTTCGTGTCACCAAGACGCACTACTAGCGTAGCGGTTTTACAACTTCAATCTCATTCTCTAGCGAGAAGGAAGTGGATTCCCAAAGTCTTCTAAGACCCTTTTGGTCGTCAACATCAGATCAAGATCGGAGATTCGGACTCGTGAGTCTCTTTCTTTGTTTTCATTTTGAGTCTGCAGTTTTGCGACTGGCGCGGCCCACCGCTACTTTCATTCTAGTGCAACGACCAAGGAAGTTGAGCGTTTAGGCCGTTCTTTTTAAGCCGCGGTATCCCTTCAACCCTTCGGCGTTCATATCGTTGTTTTCTAACGACTGGTCTCATGCATGTCTCTTACCTTCCAATTGACATTCTCTGCGAGCTCTTCAAACATGCTGCGGTGGTTGATCCTCCAGGAAGAACATTACACCTTACCACGAATCGCCGGGACCATCAGAATAGGCTTCAAAAATACTATCTGGGCTGGATCGTGCTTACTCACGTATCCCGCCAATGGCGCCACGCAGGCATATTCTGTATGCCATCCCTGTGGGCCTCCATCGTCACATTATTTGATGATGCGACAATAGCCGAAGAGTTTGCTACCCGCGCAAGGGACTGTCATCTTAACTTGGAGATCAAAGGCTGGCCTGGCATGATGTCCAATCAAAATAGCAAGCTGTATGATTGGGTCCTCAGGCACATACAACGCGCAAGTCGTTTGCGCTGTCATACTCCAATCAAGATCAATAATGCCAAGAGCCCAGTGTGGACCTTTCTTCATGGGCATTTACTTTCGATACTCGAGGAACTTACATTCATATGCACCTTCGTCGCACGAGACTACCGAGCTATACAACTTCCTACCCCTGATGTCAATTTTACCTCGTATGAGTTTCAGCTCAGAGCTCCATCTTTGACGACGGCGACATTCTCAAACGTCCTTCCGACACCCTCCTCGGTGTTACCCAACTTACGGAGGTTGACCTTGGACTTTATTTACGGATCGTCGTCGTTAGACATGGAGCGTTTCCTTGATCTTCTTTGCGTGATGCCAAGGCTGGAAGCACTGACTTTGCGCTGCACGTACATGCAAGCCAATGCGGCATACAGAATACCGGGCTCAGACATCAAGCCCACATATCTTCAAAATGTGAAAAGAGTTGAACTTACGATTGGATATGTCGAAGATGCTTGCACCGTCGTTCAAAGACTCGCACTTCCCCTGGTAGTTGATTTCAGGCTGACCGTGTCGCCCTGGAGTAATTCCATACCGCAACTGCTAAAAGACACTATACACGCATATCTCTCACAAAGGCAGTACAACATTGTCTCGATAACAAGGAGCCGGCTAAGCCTGACGCTTGCAGAGCACTGTGATACTGTTCGTGTTGACGCGTCCCCCTCCGCGTTTGTCCTCCACTTCACCAAGTCACTCACGATAACCGAATACACCGCCGTACTCGAATTTCTGTCTGAGAGCTCTCCTTTGAACGTCTCTATGATACGCCGCCTCGACATGGGCTCATTTATCGAAGAATGGTACAATCCGTGCGAGTTGCAAATCCATCACACGTTCATGGGCTTCTGGACCGTGTTTCAAAAAGTCGGCTGTCTTTTGAAAAACACGGTCACTGTCTGTATACCATCTGACACTTTGCATCGGTTTGCCCTCCACTTGTTATCTCATCAAGCTTCCCGGCTCTTTTTTCCATCTCTTGATAGGCTGATTCTCTGCATGGATCACCACACACGCATGCATCATTCGGTATCAAGTATTGATGCCTGGTGGAACCAAGTGCAATCTGGTCTCCACACGCGTGTCAAACAAGGTCGACCTGTGACAAGTCTAGTGATAGCAGGTCAGTGGTGCCAAAATGAGCCTATGACTCGTCAATGGGAGTCGCGAGCCATAGAAAGCCATCAATTAGGGTTAGTAGGCAGATTGACAGATGAAAGAGTGCTTGTGAACACATGCTCTCGATGCCTATATGAATGTAGTGAGATTCAATGCTAGCATTATAGCTGGAGAAATATCAGAGAATGATTCCAGGCCAGTCTCATACTGTTCTGTATCCACATGCAGCTTTTTAAAGACGCATACAATGACACCAGCTTCGTGTAGTAGCGTCTTATGTCTGGCTATGTATCACATAGCTCGGTTCCGTATTTTTGGCGACGTACTGATAGTGTCACGCACATCTTGAGTCTCGTTGTATAATTGCGTATCTAGGATCAGACTGCGCATGTTACCCGCTCACAATTCTCTATCACATTGCAGACAGTCATGAAGACGAGGGAGATTTAGTACAGGAAATTTGCTTCTTGGCTGCAGGCTTTGGAGTACTCTCGCCGGTTCCACGAGCTCAACCTGTCTTTCGCGCTGAGGAAACAGTCAACTTCATCAAACAGTCAACTTCATCAACCATCAAGCAATTATCAAATCAAAATAGTGTGTAACTGAGAGCCAATCAGAAGACTAGACAAAACACGCGAGCCGCGGCACGCGGAGGTGATGTCATCGAACGTACAGCGTTATCCCAACCACCACCGGGCAACGCGTCAGAGCGTCAACCTCTGAATCTTTATCTCACCATGTGGAGCTGAAAGGTATACTGTGTATATCCGTAGTCAGCGTCCAAGTCATTCACGAGTAATGTGCTTTGAACTATTTTCGAATCGGCCTCCGCTCACGAGAGCCTGCCAACGATCTACGAACGAGTACGAGCAATGACTCTAACGTGGCTCGCTCTCAGAGGAGATGATGGGGTGTCTGCCGCTTTATCCTTACTCGATGATTGCCTGATGCCTGACCTCTGAGGACTTGGAATTCCCTAGCCCACAGGAAGATTCTTAGCTGTCTTACAGGCTTCGTTATCGTGCAAGCATCACAAAGGACAGGAATCAAAATAAGGTGGTAAAGAAGGAACATATCTTCTCTGTATGTGATTGCAATTGTGTACTCCGATTGCATGATCAGACCTAAACGTTCTTCCCAATAGGCGAACGGCTCCGGCTCTCCCTCTCCCGCCTTTCACAACGACGACCGTGCCGAATGCAGCTATCGTATGATTGCATCTAGCTCGCATGGGACAAATGCCGCCGATGCACCGCGCGGCCCTTCGGCAGGCCGTGCGCTCGGTCGATAGTGATCCGGTGTGTCCGTCGCGACAAATGGACATGCTTGCAGCTGGGCTCTACTGAGAGGTCTTCAGTAGGCAAGGAGAACTGCTATCACGTTACCGTCGAGCGGCCTCCTCTTGCACGCTGCCTCTGTCCTCGCCAGCGTGTTGTCGCTTTCGAGCCCCCGATACTAAAGCTGATAAGAAGCATCATATCAAATATATTATTTATGAAGCTCCTGATATGAGATCACGACGTTTTGTCATACGTGATGCAGATCTGACAGGCGAGCGGAGAGAGACTGGCAAACGGGCACTTCTGGACTATCAGGATCCTAGAGGGACTCGGTAGCTAATCATTATTACTGCTCACAGGCCGCATCCACGAGTCTCGGTCCCTTCCATACATCCGCACGCAGGATTCTACATTACATGTACATAGTATTTCAACGACCATTATTTGGGTCACGTACAGGCCATTGCCAACACAAGCGATGATGGCCCACTGGCTTAAGCAAGAGACTGGGCGTGGGTATCGGTCACTCGGTGCTTTGCATGGATATCGACTTGTCCAGTGCCTATGGTAATCCCAAAATTGGAACCGGCTTCCATTGACTGTCCCAGTTGCTCGTAAGTCCCATTCTACAGCAACATGTTATTTGATACAGTGTCCGGCGTGACTAGATTGATACTACCTACCAGGTCCTCGCTGTATGAGTCATCTCTTCATTGGGAGCATTGGCCGGTTCTGACCAAGGTAAAGAAACTAATAAACCTACTGTCTTTACGCGCCACCCAGCCAGCTCCCGCTACAGCACACATACTGCCGTCATATGGGTCAACGCATAGCCAAATACGTCGCTGGAGTGGTGTTCTGGCATTGGAATGGCTCAACTGTACCTGCGAGGGCACGAAAGGAGTAGAACTTTCAGCACAGCACCCGCAGTCGCCTCATTTTGATGGGAATGTGGGTGACAAGGCGCGTAGAAAAAGGTGAAATCTTTCCAGCCTCCTTTCATGGCATCAGAGACGCTAGAAAGAAGGGTAAGAAATAATGGCCACCTCTCCTCCTTTCTAGCCGACTCCTCATTTGGACAGGACGCTGGAAATATTTCACCCTTTTCTAGGTGCCTTCCAGCCTTGTTCCTTCGAAAAGGCGTGGGTCGCGGGTGCTGTGCAGGTTATTCGCGCAATCACGCAATGCTGTGGCTAAACCACCGACAGTCATGGAGACTAACCACTCCGCGGATGAGGCCCGCATCTGTGACTGCTCAGGAGGAGACTATATATAACGAGGCGTAGCCCAAACACTGCCGCACTTACTCCTGACAAGTAACTTCTTCCCCCGGTTTCATCATGTTATTGGCAAAGTAAGCTCCGATCACCTATTTATTCCTCAGTCCTGCCCTTACACCAGAGTACAGCCCAGCCATCGGAATCGTGACAGTGAGCCGCGCGAATGTGCTCTATGAGTGGGATATTTGGATGGATCTCCCACGTACGACCGTAAAGGTTTTGGTCGGAGAACGCTTAGATCGCCAAGGCATGCGCGGTGAAGTATGCTTCAAGACGGATGTCGACGGGCCCATGGATGACGGTACGCATTTTGTTTCTCCGGAAAAGCGTTACTCTCGCCCTAATTATTGTATATAAGCTATGATCTCCATCAAATTCGTCGAAGAACCAAAGAAGACTTACCCTGTGGCTCACATCACGTTCGGGGATCGTGCTGGTGGCCAGCGTATCCGCGTACCTCCCGGGTTCAGACTCTTTCTGAATGAAGACGCGCTCATCAACGTTATTCAACTCGAAGGAGCTTCCACCGCGCTTCCTGATGCGCAAGTGCACAACGCAAACTGCTACTGGTGCATGCCAACACGCGAAAGTGGTGGGTAACCCCCACAACATCCCGTTGGCAGTGCCCACTGACATTGTGGTACTCGTATGCAGAAGCTGAAGTCAAAGAAGCATGGAAGGACTACAAAAAGGCTGAGATTGGCTCCCTTTGGCCCGTCCTCTGGCAGCCTACCAGCCTCGACCGCGACTCGCTCAAGGACGTAATCAACACGTCGTCTGTCGGGCACTTCCTCCTCAACAAGGCTTTGGACGGCGAAGACAAGCATTCCCGTGTTCTCCATGAGCTCGCACGTTTCAGTTCGCACTCCCTCATTTCCGCGGTCGAAGCCTCTGGGGAGCGTCGCGCGGATATCGAGTTCGGTGTGACGCTCGTTGTAGCTGCGTTGAAGGCGAATGATGTTATTCTCACATCTGAATGTCTGCCGTTCCACTATGAGATAACGTACTGATGGGTTGACCAAATAAGCCCATGTTGTGCCGCGTCCCAATGTCCTAAGTCCTAATGGTTCTGAAATATGAATCCTATACAGTGGGCATGCTAGACATGTAGCCAATCTTGCATTTATTGAATGATGACATTAGCATCTGTGCAATACAAACTACATCGAAGTTATGTACACGCTGAAAAGTTGAAAGCCGCAGAGATCTGTCCTCGCGCGAGGCCTCAGATAGTAGCGATTTATCTTCGCACATTCCGGTATGCTACAGTAGTAGTATGTACAGCCAATGGTCCAGTACCAGATAAGCGCAGAGTTGTAGCTGCAAACGTACTCGTGCAAGGCTCTCCGAGAGGCGTTCACTCGAGTTAGGGCTCTGTTTACCGCGCTGATGGCGTCTCCGCGGCTTCGTCACACTTCGTCAACCACAACCTCCACGTACGTCTTTTGAGACTTGTCAATCTCAGGCTCAGACCTGCTCTTCAGGCCCCTTCAGCATGCTCAGAGAGCTTTGATCATTCTTGGTCTTGTTATAACCGCCGAGCGAGGTCCTTTCACGCGCTTGGGAGGTGGATGAGACCCGAGCCTAGAGCTCAGAGAATTGCCTTTCGGGTCAGTCGTGTCGAGCTTCAGCAAAAGCCTCAGCCATCGCACCTGGATTGAGTGTTGTTTCTCTCCTGTTCAGACTGTCATTACATGGGTACTATGAGTATTGTCGTCTATCAGTGTCTCTCGCTCGTGAAGAGCATGCTATGAGCGCCCCTACCTCGTATTGCTAACTCGCGTCTCGTCTCATGCAACCGGACCGTGTTTCGGACCGTCAGGCTCTCGTCTGCTAAGGCCACCGAGCTAAAGCGGCGAGACTGGATACAAAAACTGTCCACGGTATTCTCCTCGGTATGCTCTGGACTTGCTTCTCTCTAGTTAATTAATCTCGTGTCAAAGCTCTATATGCCGATGCTTTGACATTGGATGTTTCGGACTTTCTCTCGTAAAGATGGCGTAGCGACCTTCGTATCAATACGATGCTCATTCCAACGGCACTGGAAGCGCGACTTCCTGACGACATTGCGGCCCTGACGAATGTCTCCGCTACTTTCTCGAGCGCGAGGCTCTTGCAAAACGCCTGCCAGCCGACTATAGCGAGGGTGCACCATCAACCATCCTTGAGATTAGACAGCAGCTGGCAAAGCACCGGGATACAGCGCGTCTTCTAACAATCATCTATTCGCCAGAGTACCTTTGGATTCATCCCTGCATCGAGAGAAAAAAGGGTCAAGTTCTCGGGTCAGATCCTACGCCGCAGCGCAAACTTTCCGTCAGCCTCGAGACACATCTCGAGAGCTGGTTGCGTCATTGTCCTCCCTCACGGAGGACCTTCAGCTTTCAGAGGCTACCAGCCTTGGAGCATTCCGAAAGCTACTCGTGTGACATTATTGCCATCGGAACTCTTTGGCATGCGTGAAGCTCTGCGGGTCACAAAGTTCATCAGGATTGTCGCCTTCTCTAAAAAGATGCATAGCGTGAGTGCCCAGGTATAACCTGTACGAGAATCAACTAACCCCTCACTATAGTGTTTGCCTTCGGAGCTTGCCATAGCATCCGCTTTGGCGGCTGGGCATGCATCTGTACGAAAAGTGGCGACTGCTTGAGACTGTACCGAGCCCGATATGCCCGTCGATCGCGTATGTAGTAGCTACAGCTCGATGCACAGCATGCCACACTGATGTCTTTTACTTCTAGGTAGCTGTATGAATACCTCCCTTGGATGGTACTCATCGCAAAGATGTGGCCATGCTGAACAATGCTGTCTTCACAGCTGGGTCGGAGATAGTTCGGCCACATCCAAATGCTTTTAATGCCTTCGGGAGGCGCGCGCACTCGCCGGAGCCCTCCCGAACCACGTCAACTGCCAAGCCAGAGCGTCGCAAGAAGAACCCTGCAGTGCAAGCTCAGTGAGTCTATCATATTGCACTTTAACTCCGTCTCTCTTACGTCCTGTTGTTAGGTTAGGTTCACTGAGCAGCCACTTGCGAAAGGCCAGAGCAAACAGAACCAATTTCAAGCAGGGAAAGAATGAAGCAGTTGAAGATGGTACATTCGTAGTCAATCTAGTGCGGTGGCTCAAGTACATTGTGAAGCTAGAAACGATTGATCGGGCTCACGGGAGCTGCGGGTTCAAGGCCGACGACGTCGGCCTGGAAAAGGGCAGGTTTGTCTGCGAATCATATACTACTGGCCGAGTTCATACTCCCTCAAAAGGCTCGCATCGTCATCCACAAACACTGTGGTCTCAGTATATTGCAAGCACTTCTTACTACATGAAGGGATACAAGAAACACGTCATGAAGTGTTCCACACTTCGGCCACCAGCCGCAAGCTTCCATGTGCACTTACTCCGTGACTCCGGGTTCGATACAGGCTCTATCTCTTCAACTGCTCCCCCTCCTCTCGCCATACATTTCTATGTGCGCCGTCCACATCCCGACCATGTTCCATGCACGGGGACCACAGGCACAGATGTTGAGCGTGTCGCGGACTATACATCCCATTCGGCACAACATGGAAGCGCAGGTGGCGATGGTTTGCAGTCTCTGGCTTGGAGGTTCTATCGGCGCAAGTACTACGAGCTCAACAGAAAGAAAAATACGTTCGTTAGGAGCAGTGTATCACACAGCGCTTGGCAGTCGACCACACCAACCATCGGGTCTTTGCATTTGGGGGGCAAGTGTGCGGGAGGCATGTCATGCATCGCAAAGGTACCGCCTCCTGGCGTGCAACACCTGTCTATCAGAACGCCGTTTTGGGGTAGATGATTGCTCGTAGCAAACGTTTGAAATTGATGCTCGACGAGGTATGCAGACTATGCGCATCGATTTCTATCTGAACTGATTGTTCTCACAGCCTTCTAATCACGCCGAGCTCTTCACCGACTTTGTCAAGCACCTAGCTGCGGGGCGCTCCGACGATAAGCCTCTATACATTGAGCCCTTGCCAGTCCGGCTCCCTATAACCGACCGTGAAGCGCACCGCGCGGGAAATCAGAACTTCAACTGGCCGCCTATATTCGACAAACTATATCATGAGCTAGTATGCACTCGCCTCAAAGCATATCGCACATTCCAGCGAGCCTTCGGGGGTCGCTCTCAGCGCAGCTTTCTGTGGAAGAGCTCGGCAATGTCTTTGCACCATGAGATCGAGAGGGCGGAGCCAAACCCGCCAGGTGACTGACATAACGCCTGACGGCTGCTAACCGACTGATTTTGACATCGACTGATCTGGGCACGGAGAAGCCAAGCTACTCAAACAAACTGACGGTAAACAGGCTGCACGCCATCCATGTCTCTCGGGAGCAGTAGCCATAATCAGCCAGTATTGGGGGGTTTTCGAAAGCCCTTCGCCAGTCAAAGGGGGATCTCGGCTTTCACCGTTTGCCCGAGCCCGTGCTAATTTTGCCTAGGCGCACTGTAGTACGACAACCTTACACAGTACTGCATGTACACGTATAGTAGCATATTACAGCTTTGCGTAAAACGCATACTTGCTCTGCTGGTCATAAATTCATAGCTGAGGTTCGCACGCTGCGCGGCCTGTCAACAATACATGCACACGAGTCGAGCCAGGCAAAGAAGTTTGCAGACCGCTTGGCACGGAGGTTTCAGTCAAGCATGACTCTCGTTGGTGCATTGAAATAACGAATGAGATGAGCTCTACAGTATGAGTAGTACGGAGATAGAGTGAAGCAGAAGATTACCGCTAAGAGCCCGATCCTTCAAATGTCATATGTCGCGGGCATGACTAGGTTGGGGTATCAGAGCTTGATGCGAATCTGTACAGGATGGCATGGTACAGGGGATGCGAAGCAACACGCACGGACAGTGAGATCAAGTCATAAGTTGAGTTACTGTAAGGAAGAGTTGAGATCGTAGGTCATGAGCTACGTTGGATTCACCCGAGAGCGCAAACGGGAGCGCGCAGACTCCGGACTGGCTGGGGGTATAGACTAATCTCGAGACGGCACGATGGTGCCGCCACGGAGCACACCCGCGCACAAAGGAACACTATTGAGATCAAGCAGGCGACGCAGAGGACGGGAATTCAGGCGATCCTTCATTGCGGCAAGGTTGGCGGCGTGTTGGGCATGAGATGAAGCAGCTGGCTCGGAGTCGTCACCGTCATGGCGTTCATGGCGACCATCACACGACCCAGATGATACGTGTTGCACAAGTATGTCGCGTATGCCATTGGCGATGGCAGTTTCACCGACTCGAACATCATGGAAGGATGCGAGAGACAGAAGATCGGGTAGCTTCATAGTCTCGATCTGGTTCACGAGAGAGGCGAACTCGTATCGAATTTGGAAAGGACACGGTACAGGTCGTGTAGAACTGCTCGATGAGGAAGGGACACGAGCAGGCATATTGTGCACTGAAACGCGAGCGACAGTATTCGATTCATAATCAACGATATCGGACCGTATTCACTCACGATGGGTGAGGCGAGGCAAGTCTAGAGCAGAGGCAGCTGTGCGTAAATGAACAAGGGGAATTTTCGCGGCGCAAATGATACTGAACAGATTATCCATGTAGGCGAGGAGAGATGTGTATGGTTTGGACAAGGAAATGCAGTCGTGGGGCGGGGCCCATGAGAGAAATGGAAACATGCACCAAACAGGACGTGCTGTATGAAGACGGCACGGTCGGAGGCAACGGTGAACGACTGAGTGCGCATGATGCCATGTGAGAGGAGAGTGTTGCGAATGGTTGTGTCGGAGCGAGAAAGAGGAAGAGGAGGGGAGATGCAGATGACAGGATATCGTTTATGGTGGGAGGCAGAGCGGTAGAAGCCGAGAAAGCGGCAGTGGCTGGACAGGACGCGGGCTGTGTTTGTGAGGAATGAGACGGATGGACCATGGGCGAGTGAGCATTCACGTACGTAGGTGGTGTGTGCACAGAGCGACCCGCATGGGTGTGCGTAGAAGAGCCCGCTTGGGTGTGCATGGGAGGCAAGGGAATCATATATAACAAGAGTTGGCGAGTTTGTCGCGGGATAGTGAGCAGAGATGGAGGTACGAAGACGACAAACGCGATGAGCGCAAGCATCTGTCAGCGGATCCCATGACCCCGGCAAGAGCCGAGTCCAGGCACATTTACGTGGGATGTGAAACCTGGGCCATTTTCAAGTGTCGAATTCACGAGCGCAAGACCCACTACTAGCGTAGCGGGAATACTAGCGCAGCGGTAATCACGGGCGTTGCCGAAACGCATATGGACTAGTGCGCGCCATGTCGTCATGGCGTTATGGCGCCAAAGACGGAAATGATGTCTCAGTTGGACCGTGTAAGAGTACACTGGCGGTATCCGTGATACGTTAAGAAGTCAACGCACTGTAATATTAGTAGGAAAGGCTGGAAAGACTCGTGATAGCTACAGACCAGTCGTCTTTGGACAGCGCCCAACGCCTGGAACGCGTAACGCATCTCGTCTTCACACGCGCCCCACAATTGTGATGCAACGCGACTTCGACGCGTACACGGACTGATCCTGGGTGTGTGCGCAATCGTTTGGTGTGGAAGGCCTAGTAGTGTGTGATGCGGGTCTGGGACCAAGTGCCGCAAGGCACATCGAGTGCGCGATCTTTCCGCCACAGCTCTATGTATGTTCATCAGACATAGCAAGCAAGCTCTGAGAGCATACCGAACAGACCGGAGTCAGGGAGAGGGTAAGTAAGGCCTGCTATACAAGCACGCGAGACGTCAACACGTCAACACGTCAACGCGCCATCAACGAAGTATGGCTATTGGGCCCGATCGGCGCGCGATTTCCTGACTCTCGCTTTCATCTTGCTCTCCACCATCCCGCATCGTTGGACAAACAAGCTTCGCTCAGGCTATAAAGTCGATTTCTGTTGACACCTTGAAGTCCACAATCTTCAACAACATGAAGTCATCGGCACTAGAAAGACCAAAGCGCGTCCGTAAGCCGTCACGGAAAGTCCTTGGTGAGCTCATCCGCACTACCATGAATAAACGACAGGATCTGACGAATTTGGATAGAGGGAGGAGGAGTCAAAGCAAAGATTTGTAACCGCCCAGTGCCAGACTCGCCGTCTGCAGTTGTGGGAAAGCGCCCTCGTAGCGTGCGCTCGCGCTCTCGCGACTCCTTACCACCAGAACCCGAGAAGGAGGCTGCTACCAGCCCAAACCCGGCAGATACTGTGCGTATATCCTTGCTCATCATGGATGTGTACTTATTTGTGTTCCTAGGCCGGATCCTTGGCATCGCGAGGCAAAGGACGCGACCGGCCACGCGCCGAGAGCTTGACGCGTCCAGCCTTCGAGGAGGCGCCTGAAATTGGCCAAGACAGGTTTATTCCGGTGCGTATACATTTGTTCATTATGAATATGTTCTTATTTGTGTTCCTAGGCCGAACCCTCTGCATCCCGAGGCAAAGAACGCGGGCGGGCACGCGCGAGGAGCCCAACGCGTGAAGACTCCGGCGAGCTCGTGCGTAGTAATGACCTTGTCCCGGATGGGTACTGATTCTTCTTTCTAGGTGTTCTTCCCACAAGAGCAACGACTTAAAAGCGTAAGCGGGAGTGCGCCAGTCCATTGTCTCACGGAAATGGACGAGGATGAGGAATCGGGGGTGCGTGTACCGTCGACCGTTCTAGCGTTCTCACTGACTGTGTTACTAGGCGACGTCCTTGATACCGTCCACCCAGCAACAACCTGCTGACCACGAAGTTATTGTGGTCAGCGACAACGAGGACATGGAGGTGCGTGTACCGTCGATTGTACTAGGCGACGTCCTTGACACTAGCCACTCAGCAACAACCTGCCGACCACGACGTCATCATGGTCAGCGACGACGAGGACATGGAGGTGCGTGTACCGTCGATTGTACTAGGCGACGTTCTTGACACTGGCCACTCAGCAACAACCTGCCGACCACGACGTCATTGTGGTCACTGATGACGAGGACATGGAGGTGCGTATACCATTGACCGGTTTAGCATTCTGACTGACTGTCTTACCAGACGTTCGAAGTGCTTGTCGAGCGACAGTCCGGCGGCCGAAATGTCTTTGTGATCGTCGACGAGATCATTGAGATCATCGACGACGAGGTCATTGAGATCATCGACGACGAGGTCATGATGGTGCGTGTATTGTCAGCCGGTCCAGCAGTCTAACTAACTGTGTCGCCAAAAGACCGAGACGTCACCAGAGCGAGGCATTGCCCGCGCGCGCTCAAGGAGCTCAACGCGTGGTGCACCCGTGAATGCTGTCGAAGGAGAGCGGCTGGAGGTGCGTACCGTTCTCACTGTTACAAAACTCCACTTACCCATGTTTCCAGGCGGAACCTGCGGCGTCTGCGGAGGCGACGCAAACTCCTCCAACCGCGTCAGGCTCAGCGCAACGTACAGGAGCGGCCGTCCACTCCATCGGCGAACAACAACCCGCCGCGGTGTGTTTACTTATTGTATTCAGGGACTGTACTGATGTGTGTTTGTGTGTAGAGCACCGAGTTCACGGATAAACGGCTCCATATCGACATCGTCGTTGCCAAGGCTGGGAAAAAGGCTCATGACCAGTACAAAACGCTCATGCAGGGCCGCCTTCCCGGAGTTCCATTGCCTCACCTTAACAAAGTCTATGAGAAGGAGGGGTACTATCACCTCCTCTGCAAGAAACGCCTTAATATTATAGCTGCCATCTCTTTCCGCGTCCTCAAGAGGCCTGCGCTAGCGGAGATTCATTTGTTGGCCGTGAACCCCAACTACCAAAACACGGTACCGGTCTTGCTTTCAGTTTATCAGCCTTCACTCACCATCCCTACTGTAGGGTCTCGGATCCAAGCTGATGGATCGTACGGAGGCGTTCATCCGCGAGAAGCAGCCACAGACAAGGAAAATTGTGATGAACGCCACAGTCGAGGCTATAGGCTTCTACAAGAAGAAAGGGTACGAGGAGGTGGATGAGGAAAAGTACAAGAAGCTCCTTGGGTCGTGGACTGGAGTTGTGCCGATGGAACGCCAACTAGTGAACGGTCCCTCCGGGCGTTCTTAAGCGGTAGTAGGTTTAGCGTAGGATATACATGTATGATAGTCATCTTGATTGACACTTACTTCTTGCTCGATCGCAACCAATGTGTAGACGTCACTCTTCCGCCTCAGTTTGGTACCATCACGCGGATTGTCTCAGATCACGATGAGCTCTATTGAAGTGAGCGAAGCATTCGAGCATTGCGGGCTCTGATACAGTGCTGAAGAGAAGATCGTATTCCGTATGTAGTCTCACTTTAAATCTTGTGAAGCGATCCCACCGCGTTGTAGTTGCCTGCATGATCATCGCGCTCGCACGCGTCGCGCAATCTTTGCTTCGGGATCACGCCATCTGCTTGTTGTACACTTGCCACCCTAGATGTGCCGGACTACACTGCACTACACGAGTAATCACTACGTAGCAAGTACTCAGATGCAGACTTTTTTAAACGCTTCCGGGTGTCTTTAGACGTAGCCGGCGGTCTTTAGACAGAACGGATCGTCTTCAGATACTCTGAGCTGTCTTCAGACAAAGCGAGTTGTCTGAAGACTCTTTGAACAATCTGTAGACAGCCCACTTTGTCTTCAGGACACTATTCTTGCTTTCAACAAGTACAGGCACTGCTCAGGTATAAGATGAGACCATACGCTCTCGTACACAGCCTCGGGGCTCCGATGTACTGTGAAGCCACTGCATACAGTACTGATAGATAGTCTAGTACAGGTCAATGAGATGGGCCAGTACAGGTAAGTTGCATTCTAGTAGCAGGCGTTCGGACGAGTAGGAGGCTGCTATCGAGTGTGAGCTCTGTATAAAATGCGGTGGTGGTTTTATCTGAAGACAGCAAGCGGGTGTGTGGCGAGCTGGCAGAATCCGCCACAGCAATCTTACCGCAACAAGGATCATGACGAGCGCATTGGCAGGCTGCTAAATGTTGCCGGAGATGGCATGTGTATTCGTATCAGCACCGCCAACGTGAAGTAATCGGCGGCAAAGATCTATAGGAGTGGGGCTCCGTACTTCTCGCTGTTCTTGAACCCAAACCTCAAGTCTTGTATCACAGAAACAGAGCGGCACAGCGCGGCACAGACCTGCTGGTCATGAATCGCCCGCATGAGTACCATTGGCCAAAGCCATCATTGCCTTCCAAGTCCTAGCCTTCCGTGTTGTTGGTCGATGCGAGCACACGTTTGAAGTAGGCAGGGACGACGTCGGGATCACCCCAGTTCTTTGGCGGACATCTCAAAGGCCTCACCAGCTGTAGTACAAAAGGCCGTGCACAGATGAATCAGTGCAATGACCATCTGTGAGGTATACAGTGCGTCAGTGGGAACATGAGAGCTGGTTTAATACGCCGTATCGGCCGTACACACGCACCAGCTCGTAAACAAGCTCATCAGGGACGAACTTCTTCTTGTAAGCTGTTACCCGAGAAGAGATTGCTTAGAGTATCTCCATGACGAGCTCAGTCAGGAGGTCATTATCCGATGGTTGTTGATGCGCCATTTTCGGCTTTGACGCCAGGACGCGAAGGACAAGGCGCGTCTCGGCATTCGCCGTGATCTGCTGATGCGCGTGACCCCGTGTGACCTGCACGTGGAGGGGGGTATTATGTTCGTACCAATCATTGCGGGTACCAACAATTCTACGGTTTTGTTACACCTAGGCAGACAGACTAGTATCCGCTGTAGCAGTCAGCCGGCAACGTCGGTGATGAAGCTCGTCGTGCAAATGGGCAAACATCCATTATGACCAGCCTCTTGCCGCAACAAAATATGTGCTCCATTTACTTGCACCTCGTCCTCCAAGTATCTCATGCCACAGTCTTATCATTTCATTGCCATGATGCACAATCAGCTATCTTTTGTAAATTCCGCCGACAGACGTTTCACGATTCCTCGGCAACGATCTTCCAACCGCCAAAAAGAATTACGACAACTGCCGGTATAGTGCAATGTTCGCGTGACCATCTTCGTGCCGCTCACGGACTCGGTACGTACATTGCTGATCATTCAGAGCAGCTATGACTATCATCGATAGTCTAAAGTCGGTACTCGAGGTCAGTTGCTCTGCATATGCACTTGCGCTACGCGAACTGATATTGACCACATCATTTCAAAGATGCACTGCCTCACTTCGGAGTAGTGATGCATCTGGTTTGTACCGGCAAAAGCAATACCACGTACAAGCAGTTGAAACATTCTTTTTGAGCGAAGTTTGTAACAATGTTGCCATCGTCAGTGATGTTTCCATGAGGAGCCTGTCATTGCGACAGGCTGCGTCAATCACGTACTACCATGATATCTCAGCCATAAACTGATGGGTTTCTTCGCGCAAATGTTTATGGGCGTCTAGCAAAAGACCTCCTCCATTAGCGTATCAAGAGAAAGTTCAAGGACCACCTGATTACTTGAACGGTGGGGCAGTGTCTTTTGACCCGCTTTGGAAAGGCCCGCGCAAATGAGATTATGGATGGGATTGACACGCTGTAAGCCCTTATTCGTGGACGGATAATGATCTATACCTGTAGTAGATTCTTGGCGCCACCGCTCTCAAATCTCGGACGATCTTCAGGCAGTGGACTGGAGATGATTCGGAGGCCTTGAGGCCTTGATGGAGGTAGCGCGACTTCACATCTACGGTTGGTGTGTTACTGATAGGCATTGCATTCAGATTTACGTTAATGCGGTTGAAGAAGTCATTACCGAGCCAGGAATGGTGCCTGTCAATGTAGCGTTTTCGATGAGGATCTAGACGATCTAGAAGAAGCACACTCAGGCTTCTATCACAAAAGTAGAATCTTTCAGGAGGTTGCTGTGAGCTCAGAAGGCTCACGAGAATTCTCTTTTTTTCGACCCCGCCCTTTGTAAGATGTTGATCCTCAACTAGCGCGATGAGCCAAATCTGTCTACGATTGACCTCGCAGCTCGCGGCATGCTTCACGGTAAGCTGTACCAATGGATCTATGAGAAGCTCCGGCCCCAGCAGCTCGTACATTTTGGCGAGGCCATGTTAATGCCGATGCCAACGCTGATCGCGAACCCGGTCCTAACGCGCGTGCTTGTGTTTGCCCACAGCATACCATCAATGTCAAAGATCAGTCCAGCTAGAATGGTGCCTTCCGCTTGCGAGCGCACACCCGTTTTGAGTGTCCGTACGAGCGCGAGTGAGTTGACGGCGGGTCTCGCGCCGTTGCCACGGGGCTACGCCGTTCCAAAGAAAGACCTTACAGAGAGCGATTGTCCCTCCTCCCAATGGCTTATATCATTGTATCTATGCATCTTGTTCACGTTCCGCATTATAGACTCATCCCATCCCTCGCTCACCTCGATTGCTCTGTATTTTGTACCGATATGTCATCTCTCTTATCGTTGTATTTACACACCCCCAATCGGAGAGGCGACTTAAACAGGCATACATGCTCCGACCGACGTCAAGTAAAGCACGCTACTGCGGCAATGCCAGGTTGCGGGCGACAAGTTTGTGCTGTCCGCCCCCAAGACCGACTGCTATTCAGCCATCAGTTGGACAAGTTGAGGCCCAGGCAGTAGGCCTGCACCACAGGTTTAGACGCAGATGGAAAACTAAATTTCCTACTCTCAAGAGCCACGTGCACCCAACCAACCCAATGGACGCCCCAAGGCAAAAAGTCGGTGAACCTGGTTTGCAATATTGCTGATGGACGCCGCCGGCTAATTGGTTTCAAGTGAGTCTGTACTGAGATGGGATGCATGAGCCGCACAACTGGACGAATGAGCACATGATCCACGATCAGCTTCGTAATGCACTAACAATACCTGACATAGCTATATGGTAATATGAGTAAACGTCGTTTTGGCAAAAAAGACTGATGAAGATTTGATCGATTGATGCGACGAGGCGATAGTTTGATATAGGGTTGAGAAGCTTGCACGCAAAAACTCTTTACGACTTGCAAATGTAGTGTTCGAAGGATTGGATGAGTTATTCATGCTCGAACATGAGCATGTTCATCGGAAAAACTCTTGAATGAATCCACGAAGCGCGTCCGACGAGCCCCATCGCAAAGCCAAGGTCTTATTTGCACCGAACACAACGACTCAGATCTGTGCGGCATGTAACTGCATATACGAGTGGAATGACCGGATACACTCTAAGGAAGTAAGTTCAAGAACTTGACGACGCCAAAAGTCCTTGGAAAGCACGACTAGGTCATGCAATTCAACCTACCTCGAACCGACTGACGCATGTGCTGTGATAATATTGCGACTCAAAAGCTTGTGCCAGACAGGTGCATCCAACGTAATCAGCGGATTGTGCGTTTTGAGGCCCGGCAAACTGTAATCCGAGGAAAAAGATGCTATACAGTTGGCAACTGCATCTGTGGCTCTGTAACGTCATCTCGATCAGTGCACAGAGTCGGTGCCGAGACCCATTTTGTGACAAATATCTTACCTTACCATATCTGCGGTGTTAATTAAAGTGATACCCAAGTTCGAAAGTTGACATGCGCAGTGATCTATACAGCACACACAGCGCCCAAATCGCCCTGGCTTCTACCGAGTTTGCGCGGATGATGAGCGGGCTCTTCAAGCTCAGCGACGTAGCTTGCGTTGAAGTGATAGAAAACTGTGTGCGCTTTAGAACATCTGCGGAAGACATTGACTCCGTCGGCACTGTGACGCTGAGCGGTGCCACCCCAGACAAACATAACGGAAACCCAACCATCGCACCCTTACTGAGAAAGTAATGAACCATACAACAACGGAAGCCGACGAAAGCTCAAAGAATACATATAGATCAAGTAACGGGGCGAGCGGCAAAAAGATTCCCAGAGACCGTATTCATGGCCGCGTCGAGCCTGGCATCTGCCGGAGTATTTGCGACTCACACCCCGACGAAGAGAATAAGCAGGTGCTGAACAAAACCTTGGCAGCTGATGTGTGTTTTCGACACGATCGATCTCAGGACATGCTCGAAGGCTGATATTTTTTGGTGCACGAAGCATATTGATGCGAGTGCCAATGCCGCTGAAGCCGCCCCGGTAGATGGACTCAGCTCTCAGGGCGCGGCACACATTGTGCCAACCTTCTCACTGGAATATTTGACATACTTCTCAAAAATGTCGACTCTCTCAGATGTCGTGAATCTTACCATGTGCGATGGTAACATACTCTGTGTTCGTACCAAGTTCCTGATTTGTTTAAGCATGAACTCAAGTAGAGCTCCAGGTTTCGTACGTGATTGATCACGGCGATGTTCATTATCACCTCGCTGCACAGACTTATCCTGACTGAGGCCTGTCCTCTTCAATGATGAATCACCATCTTTACATCTTAGTCCAGAGCTGCTGTAATGGGATGCTCGAATTGGACTACACACACCATGATCACCTCGAGACAGCACGCAGTTCGTTGCGGAGTGAATGTGGTTTTGCTGGTTTTGCTGAGTCTTTACCCTCCAAGAGTACAATACACGTAACCCACAAAGTCAGGAGACGACTTTTTCAACCTATAACCCAACTAGCGATGTCCTGTTTACCAGTGTTTCTTTCCCTTGTCTATCTCTTGCTCGCGCTCTGACGTGGAAATCAGGCACTTCCGCATTCATATCTACCGGAAGGTCACCAGATTACTCAGCATTATTTTCATATAATCACCAAGTAATTGCACACTAACAAAAGGGATCTTGTCTCTGACCATGGTGCTCTTGCTCTCAATATGCATACTCATCCCGACGTCACCAATACAATTCTATTCCTTGTGGTTACACCGGTTGTTGCCGGATCATCTTTCTATCTTGACCCCATATGTATGTATCCATAGATATGTATGTATCCAGATATATGTATGTATTCAGAGCACAAGTTTCAGAGATATTACTTTGACCGCACTTATGTTTGAAAGCCCACGACATCCAACCAAGCCGTTGGGGTGTCTTAGCCCTAATACCCTTGGCCAGCCCTGCCTGCACTGAAATTTTCCTTTCCCTGTCTTGCAAAAGCATTCCGCTCATGTCAGTGTCCGGTTCTGAGACAAAGTGTTTCAATGGTCAGCAAGATGTCACAGATATTTCGCATTGCGGCCTCACCGACGGTTCGCGGAAAGCATGTAGAGGAAAGAGTTCATGGAGAGTGTGCAAGCCCGCTGTGCTGATGCGGAATGCCTGAGTCTACCCAATCATGAAAGGACTGAAGTTCACATACGTCTTTAATTCAAAGACAACTCCAGACATGTTTTCCAAGAGTCTGGCTCATCATCTTTGCAGATGTGCATGACCTCCGCTTCCACAGAGACGTATTGAGGTTCGAACTCGTGCGGCAGTGGTGTGGACTCGAGTGCAGTCTGGACTCGGGCCTGTACGTCCGTGGGCGCGTCCGATTTGTGGCCTTCTGCCTGCCCCCAAGCACATTGAAGTACGAGATCCTCGATATCGCCAGCTGTTGGTGGAAGAAAAGGACAGTGCTCGAGGTCTGCCTGTTCTGCTCCACCTAGTGCAACCTTCACAAACTGCAAGCACGGCGGAATGCGTATGATAGTGCTTTCACATTGCACATGTTGAAGTACAGCGGAGTAGATCACATGTTCGCCATCGTGTGCAAGGGGTTCGCCAATCGATTGCTGGATGTAGAACACCTCCCCAAAGTACCACCTCACACGGGCACCGGGCTTGACAGACTGAGCAGGTGTGTTGCGTAGCCACCAGATGATGGAGCTAATATCCTTGCCCCACTTGCGCAACTGATGACCTGAGAGAGAGGGGCAAAGTGAATGAGCACAAGCTGTCCACGAACGCACAAGGCATGATTGAGTGTGCAGGGAGTCTAGACAGTTGCATGACATGGGCGGTTTGTTGCAAAGCAAAGAAGACTGACAGGCCATGACACGGAGTCTGCTGGCAAGTGTTCCTAGTTGCACGCTTTATACTTGGCATGAAGTGCACACCTGACCAGTCCCCATGCCAAAGGAGGCAGCAGGAATGCTTCTCTTTGATCAGCTATCTCCGGCGTTACATGCTGGCATTTGTCTAGACAATGCTCCGCGACTAAAATGGTACAATTCAAAGGAAAAACTCTCATGACCAGTCCCGCCCGGACACCATGTGAACGATGACCCAATTTCTCTTATTTTTGTGTTGTATTTCAATCACTACTTCAGTCTGCAGGGCATGTACTACTTTGGACTGGCTGACCTATGAAAGGGATCAACAGTTTATGTGCAGACTACGGGGGATCCTTGAAGAAGGTTTGATCACCGATGGTGAGCAATATTGCCGACGGCTCACAAAGCAGCCGTCGGTCTTTGGCTTTTCCGGCGGGTTTCCGACAGCTTTCAATAGGTCTCTGTGAAAATAGTTTAAGCTTTGACGGGCAACATATGGCAGTCTGGAAAACTCACCTCGTCAGTAGCTTGTTTCTATTCTGCAGGTTGCGTTTGGTGGAACTGTGCGTAGTGACTAGCAAAGCAAAGGATGTGGTGCTTGTCTGAGTTGAAGATATAATTAGAGATTGGAAGTAGGTGACTAGGGCATGGCACGTACAACCCGACTGTGAAAAACAGTCGAAGAAACCGAACCAAAAGCCGGTAAAGGGGCTGAGACCATGGTTTCCAATTCTGCCAACACATGCAAAGGGTGTTCACCCGAGCAGATGGCAATACTGAGGTTCTTCATAGGAGGGCAATGGCGCATGAGTTCATCAAGAGGGGCATATGTTGGGATTGCGCTTCGGTGGCTTGCGTATATGTAGACAGGACGTCGACTCGTCTTGGTAATTCAGCCTAATCTGAAGAGCAATAGCCGGCAAATCGCCGCTTGTCAGCTGACTCGCTCCGTGAAGCCCAGTTTTCCCGAAGTACACCCTTCGACTTGCTTTCTGGCGGCTGCGGCAACAGTCATCCGACAAATGTTGTGCCAGGTACTGCTGGCCAGCGATGAAAGTACACCCTGTGGGCCACTCTACTGGATCACGGGGTCAACTTGACAACTTCAATGGTACAGGTCGACGCCACAAAGCTTCACGTAACTTGGCAACTACGGCCGTACCTGTTCCTTGAGCCAATAGAGCACTTCATCCGCACTATACACCGAGAGGCTGGCTACTTGCAGGTCTGAATGCGGTACGTGACCCAAATACAGGCTTGAAGTACCAGTAACCCCCCGCTCAGCTCGGCGGTTGCGTGCGTTCTCAACTTTAAGGGTCTGAGATTTTTGTCGGTAAGCCATTGTATGCAATGTGAAGTCGCCCATTAACTAAATCATCGAACACCTGCCTTTTTTGATGGAGCATGTGATCACCACTCTTCCACATCTGATACTGTTCCTGTCTACAGTTAGCAACAGTTGATGAGACCACCCGATCAACGCATTTCTTTGCCCCTAAAGCTGCTGACATCTTGCCACCGCACTTCCCTCTCCTCAAATCTGACGATCCTCATTGTGAACCAGGTGGTATAACAAAATGATCGGTTAGACATAAAACTCTTTTATGCAGGACTCCAAATAGATATGCTGACGGCCCTCTTGCCATCTTTGCACTTCTTACTAGTACTCTGATTCTTCGAATACATGCCTGTAATATGTGCATGGAAACTCACAAAGATGAAAGAATTGGTCAAGATTCCTCTCGGCTTCTACATTCAGTCCTAGTGGATAAAGAGAAAGTCCCAATGCAAGGGTGACAGTATGTTTGAGCTTGTTGAACACACGCGCAATAGAATAAAGTCTATACACCTGCTGGCGACGACTGGGACACGGAGGGGCACCTACTCGGGAACGAGAAGATGGTGCCGCACACACTCAAGTACATCCACGCATCGGGACGGTTCGAGCGGGAGAGAGGTACGGCGACGAGAGACGAAGGGCGAGGGAGCGACGACGAGGAAGCGGGCGAGGAGCGCAACACCTAACGCGCACGACGGCGGTGGCCCTTTTCCCCCAAAGGGGGTTTTTTAACGGCGCTGACCAGTCACCTCGAGAGAAAGACGAGGGGAGGTTCACTACACGACACTCGGTGGCATCGGAGAAGAGCGACGCAACGCAACGAGAAGACCCAGAAACGATGTTCTCCATACCCCTAACAACCACACGACCACGTCAACAGAGAGAGCAGGATTGTATTCAGTGCTACGCATGTATCGTATACGTAGGCAGGAGCTCCAGCGCAACGCCATGCGGCAGAGCTATATATAACGACTAAGAAAAAAAGTCTATACACTTCTACAGAGACTGGGCTATCTTCCTCATACTTTCACATCGTCCATGAGCATACGTGTATCAGTATGTCGTATTGGGTACGCACAAGCAAAGTCACGCCAGGAAAACAGAGTTGAATGGCATACCGGATTGCGTGAGCGCTTACGGTCACAGAGCTCAGCTCATATCGAGCGTGATGCACCCGTGCCATCATGATCTCGCGAGCTCTGTTGCGCCAGTCACGCTTTTGAGAAGGACTAGAAAAAACTGACCACAGTATATGCTACGTGTAGTATAGTTACTTGGTCTTGTAACACACCAATAGGGATTGACCTTTGCAGATAGTTTCACCATCAGCTCCTGAGATGTTTCTATCAGAGAACATCATGTAAAAAACTGACAGAAAAAAGCAATAAAGCGTAGAGTTTGCGATAACCCTTACATACAACCCCTTTTGTGGATGATGTGCGAGGTGTCTTGAAATTGATACCGCATCTGTGGAGATAGTCCATAATTTCCGAGTTCTTACTCAAACAGCAACAGTACAGATCATCTTACAGGGCAGAGATTGAGCATATACGCAGACTGAGGCTGTACCTGAGCTCAGAATCCTTTGTCGTTACTGGAAATATGCGTTGGAAGAAAGCGAAATGACCTGTAACAGTTCTTGAACTGTAATCGAATTGTGCTGAATCAACGGATATCATGACCTTGTTCTGTGCATGAACCCTACACTGTACACACTGGCTCGCTCATAGATTGATTACTGCACAAAAGGACTGGCAGTTTTGCCGACCATATGAGGTCTGGACGGCATATTGGAAGAGATACTCATGTACTGTCCATCATCGTATACTTTTCTGCCTTAGTACCGACTGTCATGCTGTATCATCGTCAGACGCATCTGTTTATACGAGGGCCGGGCGTATAACAGATGACACAGAATACTCGGCATGAAAAGGCATGCGACGAACGATCACCGAAGCCTCATCTCGTTACCGGTGCTTGCAGAATCGCGCCGGTCAGAGGCTCGCGGCAGATGGCCTTACGACTTCGACTTCTACCAAGTTTCGGGACTCAAAGAAAGGTGCTGATGCATCGTACACAGAAGCATATGGACGGATTTTGATAGATCTACCTGCCACGCAATAAACATGTGATAAGAGTCTAGGGTAAATATGCATGCTCCATGCTCATGCGTCACAGTCATGTAGAGATTTTGAACAAGGAGTATATGAGCTAGAACGGGTGGAAAAGACCATCGAGCCGCAACGGGTAGTAATCCAACATTTCCGAGACGGAGCTTTAATTTGCTCACATGTCGTACAGCACTCATTGCGTCCACCGCATGTGTATTTGCTTCAATATGATCCAGATATGTGGTAGCATTGAAGAGAAATGCAGAAGGTCGATGGCAAATGGGGATAGTCAAAGCAGATAGCCATAGAGTGCAGGGCCTCGATGTAGAACGCTCATCTCGACATCCATTTTCCGTATGAGAACATCTTTTCTTCGAAAGGTAGCAATGAAATAGCCCCAAGGCGTTCTGTCTTGGCGAGCTCACATCGACTGAATTGACCGACTTCATCCGTTCCTCTCATTTTTTCCTACAAACCGACATTCTAAGTCCCAATTCCGAGCAGAAGATGTCTATGTATACTCCCACAGTAGAACAAATGCACTTCATTGCTATCCAATGGCTTGCACTTGCGGGGCCAGTTCATTGAGTGGATGTATTCGGTCGTATTGATTAACGGCGTGGGTCGAACAGTCTGGCAGTCACAGTGCCTTTCGTATGATGCACGCTTTCTAGAGAATACATACGAAAGCGGGGTAGAGCGCAAATGGCATGACTGCCCAGCCATCACTGCGCCACGGCGTCACCAATCACACGCACTCGGCCTTTTTATATCGGGCAGCGAGATCAATGCGACTTGCCTCTGACCACCACCGCCCCCAGTTTTATCCCATATAGAAGCTCCCGTCATGCCTGTTCATCACAAAGGCTACTCTGTAGCAATCCTTCGTGACAATAAAGAGCTGACCCCGTACTCAATTGATACTACGAATGAGGGCATCGCATCGTGCTACATCGAGAGCCGGGAAGAGCAGGTACGTCAGACGATGAACTTATTTGTTCTGTCAGCGAACTAGTGTTGATCACTTTCGAACGTAGAACTTCACCATTCGAGTCGAAAACAACAACTCCGAAGACTACGGAGCGTGTGGCCATCTGTATCTGGACGGTCGCCAAGCACAAGCTTTCACGATCCTCCCTCATGATGAAGATACTTATGATGGAGTTCCTGAGACGCTGAGCTCCGTGAGACTGTTTCGTTTTCGCCGAGTAGCATTCAAAGGTATGCATGTATATTTGCAGCTTTAGCATCGCCACGAAAGATCTTCTTACAGAGGAAGAAAATGACGAGGACGGTGGTGGCTTTGCGGGAAATGTCGATCAAATTGGCACCATTGAGATACGCATGTATCGTGTCGTGATTGAACCAGCCGCTGCGGGTCAATATCGGGAGGACGACATTTCATACCAGTTCAACCGCATGGAGGAGCTCGGGCCCATTTCAGAGAAGACAAAGTTGATAGACTCCCTCAGT